TAAGACGTTGCATTAATGAAAACACATCCATCGGAGTATCAGTCTTTTTGCTTAACAAAGTTATAAATTCATTAGTGCATTCTCCAGTCATTTTAGGGTTCAATGCTCGATGAAATGCTAACGATGCCAATTTTCGTTGTTGTGCCCAGATCTTTAAAGTGAAGATAGTGATTAAAAGAACGAAAATTTTAACAATATTGCAAAAAGTTTAATGAAAAAGATAACTACATCTCCATTCGTGAACAAAATCCCTTTTCCAAAGAAACCCCTCAAAGGATGTTTTTCATGAAATTGAGCCTTTGGAAGGGTGTATGCTTAGCAAAAATAATAATAAAATAAATAAATAAACTTTTTAAGAAATGAACAGACAACCCAGTACTTAAAAAGACAATAATATATACCGCTTCCATTGAAAACTATTTTAGCAAGTTCGGCGTCGGTTATAATAATCGCCCATCTAATGGCAAAAAAAAACTAAAATATCGAAAAAGGATTAACTTTAAAACAATGATAGTGTTTAATGATAAATAAAATAACCCACTTTAACTAGACCAATCTTATCAGGATCCGATTCAATAATAAATTTTTGAATATCATCTTGTCCTTTATTACGAATCAACAATAACAAGAGTTTAAAGAGAGAAATATTTGGAATGTAGTCCATTTCTTTAGGATGCTTATAGGCTCTACGAATAAAGTAGAATAATAAAATTGAAACTACGAGAATCAAATAAAACAAATTCATTTTGTAAAAGGCGTTAGAACGAGAAATAACTTGAGTGAGTGAAAGGAACTATAAAAGATACTAGATGAGAAATAATTTGAGTGAATGAAATTTTTTTATTGCATTAATTTTTTAAATCGAATTTAATAACCGATATTTTTTATTAGGGTGATACAATTTTATATATGTTTTCAGATTATTTAACTAAGTTAACTTCCTATTTTAATCATACGTATGTTATGTGTCTTTCTAATTTCTGTTAACTATTGTGAGTGACCAACGTGAGTGTTGAGTCAAGTCAATTCTTAGTGCAGATTTTTAATGCAGATTATGACCGACTTGAGTTTACCAATTTCTTATTAATTATTCACTACAAACGGAAAACCTAAAAAAAGAAAGCAGTTGATTATCAACTTGACTGCTAGACGATTACCTTACCATTTAACTGATTACTTTTTCATCAATCAAACAATCCATATGGTATGATTTCGTTGTTTTTTTATTGAAATTAATGTCACTTTCTTGTACAGCTACGAGTCACATTAACTCTGATAGAAGAAATTTCTGCCGTATAATTGTTGTTTCCTCTACAGTAAATAGCTATGAGCATACCAGGAACGGAGTGATATTGAAAATTTACCGAAGTGTGTGGTTATATTGCAAATTAAATGATGTACGTTCGCAAAATCTTGCCAAAAGCATATGGAGAAGCAAAGGTGTGAATGCATATCGGGACTTCACACGTAGTACCTTCACAGAGTACATGTAACACTTTATTCTATAT